CCCCCGCTGTAGCCGCTCACTACTCCACCTTGATTTGTCCTTTCTGGACTTAGCGATCCTTCAGACCCTGGAATTATTCCTTTTTACCCCAGGGCCTTTGTACTTGCTCTTTCCTTAGCAGCTTGGAATGCTTTCTCCTTTTTCTCTCCCTACTCTCTGCCCTCCCTCCCCACATCCAGCCTGGCTCATTCTCCTGTATCCTTGAGATCTTGATCTACATGTCTCCCTGGACTGCCCCTAAGGAAGTCTTGACCCCTGGTCTCCCCTGTCTCAGCATGCCTGCATTCTTCCACCCTGTCAGCCCCAGGAGAGCAGGGCCTGACTCATCCTCTGCTCCGCAGGCCCACTGCACCTGGTACACGGAGGGCACTCAGTTGTGTTTGTTGATTTAATGAATGACTCCCATGGGATTATTTTTGTTACCTATTTGTCATATTCCAGGCATTTTTCTACAATGCCTGAAAAAGCATAACTTTATAAAAGATTTTAAAATTGATTTTTAGAGAGGAAGGGGGAAAGAGAGAGAAACATTGATGTGAGCATGAAACATCAATTGGCTACATATTACATGGCCCCTCTTGGGGATCAAGCCTGAAACACGGGCATGTGCCCTGACCTGCAATCAAACTGGCAACCTTTCAGTGCATGGGATGATGCCCAACCAACTGAGCCACATGGGCCAGGACAGAAGCATAATTTTTTATATGAATAATGCCTTACTCTATGTTCTTCTGGTATTGCTGCCACTTATCATAATAGTAACTGCAGTTTGCTGACAGACACTGGGCCAAGCGCTGCACACTTATTTACCACCCCCCCCCCAATTCTACAGGTGAGAAAGTTAAGGCTCTGAGAAGTAGAAATAAAATTGCTGAGTGTCAGAGAGATGCAGACAAAAAAGTACTTACAGGAATAGCCTTTCTGCTATCAGCTGCCATGTGGTATTGCCTCAGAGTTAGGATAATTTAGTGTTGATGGATGAATTTACCCATTTTTCATAACCAGTGATTATATAGATGGACATATGATATAAAGCAAATCAACAAAAGAAAGTTAAATTGAATTTAATTAGATCACCAAAATATTTGTAAGCCTATGGGGTCATCTTATTGATGAAGGTGTATTTGTTTGTTTTCATAGAAGTACTTTGATGCATCACTATATCCCTACCACCAGCTTTCATGACTGTCAACTCAAGGCTAAACCTTTCCATCTATCTACATCCCTTCCCAACCCTCCCTTTAGATTATTTAGAAGCAAATCCTAGGCATCCTATTATTTCATCTATAAGTATTTGAACATGCATCTCTAAAAAAGACTCTTTGAAAAATAACCATCATCCCATTATCATATCAAAACATGTTCACAATCATCTTAAAAAAAAAAAAATCTTTATTGATTTCAGAGAGAGAGAGAGAGAGAGAGAGAGAAACAAACATCACTGATGAGAGAGTCATTGATCAGCTGCCTCCTGCACGCCCAGACTGGGGATAGAGGCCGAAACCCAGGTGTGTGCCCTGACCGGAATTGAACCACAATCTCCTGGATCCTAGGTCGATGCTCAACTGCTGAGCCATGCCCAGCGGGGCCACAATCATCTTTTAATATCACCAGATATTCCATCACTGTTGAAATGTCACCAATTATTTCATGAATTGTTTTATAGGTTGTTCTTGTCAAAGTGCAGATAAGGTCCACCCATTCATGCCTGTTAGTTGATAAGTCTCTTAAGTGTCTTTAATTCTATAGGTTCCCCTTCTTTTCTTT